AATTCTGAAGATGAAAAAACTAGAAACCGAAGCTCCATGAGGGCAGGCATCATGTCTGCTCACCACTGCCTACTCAGTGCCAGCCACTGACCCTGGTTGGAAGGCAGGCTCTTAGTTAATGTATATTGAATAAGTGAATATGTATTTCTTAAGTAAATTGAAGAGTACCTTGAAGAAGATAATTTATTTGGGCAGAGATGAGATACAAAGGCTTGAGAAAATATTAGGAGGTAGAAATGATAACTGACTATATTAGAACACCAACCTGACTGAAGCAGTGAGAACGAGCAGGAAGGTTCTGTGAAACTGGCTGCTTTTTAACAGTAGGTTGGGGTCAAATTATAAGCTGCTTTGATTGCTGGATTTAGGAATTTGGGATTTGTTTTTTATATAATGTACAATTTTTCTGAACAGATGGTAGCATTGTTAAAGCAGTGCTTCAGGAATGCAATCTGAAGACAGTGCAGGCTGCAGTGAGGAAGAGTCTGGAGACCAGCTTTGAGACCAGTTGTAATGTTGGATAGGAATTCTTGGATAGTGGTCATGTTCAGTAAAATTATTAGTATTTCTTTATATGTAATATATTACATAAAAGTGCTTTTTAAATCCTAGTGATTGAACATAATGACATGGCTATCTTTTTCAGTATTTATTTAATTTTCCATGACATTTTGTTATTGATCTTCATGGCTTTTCTATGAGATAATGGTATAAATTTTGAATACATTTGTTCTTCCCTTATTTGCCTTTTGTTAATGTCAAGCATGGCACATGAGACAGTCCTTGTTGCTATGCAACTGCTAAATCCAATATTTAATATTAATAAAACTGAGTGGCATTAAGTTCAGTTAACAGAGGGTAGCAAAATATGGCTTTACAGTGTCAAATCAGAAATATGTGTGAGGTTTAATGTATTGTTGCAGATATGAGCAAAAGAAAAGTGACTTGTTTAAGTTAGTATTTTGATCAGTTACTAACTTTATGACCAGATTTTTTTATTGTTTCATTTCGGTCTTTCCTTTTCACTGCTTTTTGCTCTGTGATTTGGTTTTTATTACTGTCTGTTGTGTGATGAAGTTTTTTTCTGTTTTCTTATTCTTTCAGGTTCCATTGTCCTTTGTAATTTTTAAATTTTATCTTCTAAAGCTTTGTTTTGTTTTTGTTTCCCAGTATTAGTTCTTGCTGTATTTACATTTTTCCTTTTCAAGAATTTGTGCTTAGCATACAAGTTTTGAATTTGTTATGATTTCTTATAAACCCAGGTGAAAGCAAATTAGATTTGCTCTTCAGGATAAGAGCCACCTGTAATATCATTTAGCTATTTGCAGTGTGTACTTGGTACTTTCAAGATACTGAAATATTTGTAAAATCAATTCCTTTGGGGGGAGGGGGGGTAGGAGGGTTTTAGAGTTGGAGGCAGCCTGTGGGATTTTTTTGTTTTTTTTTAAGGCTAGTGTTGGGAATACCTAGTTTGCAGAGATAGATTGTATCTAGCAAGTCCTTTTCATTCTCTTACCTACCACTGCCTCTTCACCCTCAAAAACCTCAATGCAACCCTTTCTCCTCTCTAGTGTGGGGAAGAATTTAGTAGAAAATGTTTTAATTGTAGCAGGCAAATAATAAACAGGCATACATACTTCCCAGTTTCTTAAATGGGTAGTTTGATCTTGCTAATATTCTTGGAATAATTTTGATGGGAAAGAACTAAGGAGAATTGAAAAACAGTTGCTCCTTAATAATAAGTGGAAAGTCTAGAACAGCCGTGGGCAAACTACTGCCCGCGGGCCGGATCCGGCCCATTTGAAATGAATAAAACTAAAAAAAAAAAAAAGACCGTACCCTTTTATGTAATGATGTTTACTTTGAATTTATATTAGTTCACACAAACACTCCATCCATGCTTTTGTTCCGGCCCTCCGGTCCAGTTTAAGAACCCATTGTGGCCCTCGAGTCAAAAAGTTTGCCCACCCCTGGTCTAGAACCTAAAAAATAGTGCAGAAAAATCAACTCTGTAACTACAATGTAGATAACACAAACTCTAGAGCAGTGGTTCTCAACCTTCTGGCCCTTTAAATACAGTTTCTCATGTTGCGACCCAACCATAAAATTATTTTCGTTGCTACTTCATAATTGTAATGTTCCTACTGTTATGAATCGTAATGTAAATATCTGATATGCAGGATGGTCTTAGGCAACCCCTGTGAAAGGGTCGTTCGATTGCCAAAGGGGTCGAGACCTACAGGTTGAGAACCGCTGCTAGAGATTACTTTTTAATTATGGCTTAATGCGAAGGACAAAGAAATTCCTAAAATTACAATGTTATTCTTATAGCCAAATAAAATACTGTTCCCAGGGACCATCTTATCTGACCCCTTATCTTCCAAACCTTTTATGGTAATTGAATTTGTGGTAAGGAAATGCAACATGTGTGTGAGCCTCAGGTATTCCCTGGCTATAGTAATTAATTAATTAATTTCTGAGAGAGAAAGAAAGGGAGAGACAGAGGGAGGGACAAAAGGAGGGAGGGGGAGAGAGGAAGAGAAAGAGAGAAGGAGAGAGAGAAACATCATTTGTTTACCTTCCACACAGGGAGAGAGAGAGAGAGAGAGAGAGAGAGAGAGAGAGAGAGAGAGAGGAGAGAGAAATATTGTTTGTTTGCCTTCCACATGGACCCTGGACTGGGGACAGAAACAAAACCTGGGTATGTGTCCTAACCAGGAATTGAACCCACCACTGACAGACACTCCAACCAACTGAGCCACAGGAGCTAGGGCCTGGCTATCCTATGTAATAAAAGCCTAATATGCTAAGTGCCTGGTCGATCGGTCAGCCGTTCAACCAATCAAAGCGTAATATGCTAATGATATGCTAAGGCCACTCAACCACTCGTATGATGTGCACTGACCACCAGGGGGCAGTCAACTGGTTGACCAGTCGCTATGACATGCACTGACCACCAGGGAGCAGACAGTCCACTGGTCGACCAGTTGCTATGACGTGCACTGACCACTAGGGGACAGATGCTCTGACTGGTAGGTTAGCTTGCTGCTGGGGTCTGGCTGATTGGGACTGAGCGAGAAGGGCCGGACACACCCACGGTCCCTCCTTGGCTGGCCAACCTCCTGTGTCTCTACCTGGCCCCGATCGTGCACCAGTGGGGTCCCACCTTGGCCTGTGCCCTCTTGCAATCTGGGACCCCTCGGGGGATGTCGGAGAGCCAGTTTTGGCCCGATCCTGCAGACCAGGCCAAGGGACCCCACTGGTGCACGAATTTGTGCACCGGGCCTCTAATAGTATTTTAAATTAGTGCTTCACTCTCTTTTGAACATAGGAGTTAAATATTAAAAATTATAAAGCCTTAGGTGATAGTAGAGGGTGACAAAATACGTAGTGCCCCTAACTACTAAGAGTTCAGTAACACTTTTTATGTTTTCTTAATTATAGTAACATTTCTATGCATTTGAAAAGTAGTATGTACATTGAATATACAAGACATACTAATTTTTTTCTAAAGGTCACACTTAAAGTATACATGAATACATTTGAGCTCCCAGTAAGGCACACAACACATAATTTGGGAACCACTACTCTAATCCATTGTTTCTGTCTGTTGTATAAAGATACAGTCTGATACCCTTCCTCTTTTTCCTCCTTACTCTCTTAACCCATAGACACCAAGATGGCAAAGATATTTTTAAATTGCTTTTTATTGCTTTGATCACCAATATTTGATTAAATAAATCAGAAACTTTTTTGTGTGTGTTTCATTTTCTACTTTATACTGGTACAAGGTGATGCTAGTTTAAATATTTATGTATAGGTATATTTAATTTTTTTTCTTATTTTAAAAAATATATTTTTTTATTGATTTCAGAAAAGAAGGGAGAGGGAGAGAGAAACATTAATGATGAGAGAGAATCATTGGTCAGCTGCTTCCTGCAGGCCCCATACTGGGGATTGAACCCACAATCCAGGCATGTGCCCTGACCAGGAATTGAACCATGACCTCTGATTCATAGGTCCACCTCAACCACTTAGATACTCTGGCTGGGCTCCTTTTTAAATTCTTTATTAGAGAGTGGAAGAGAGGGGAGAGAAACAGAGAAACCTCAGTGTGAGGTAGACACATCAATTGGTTGCCTCCTGCACACACCCAACTGGGCTGGGGATCCAACCTGCAACCTAAGTAGGTGCCCTTGACTGGGAATTGAACCCTAGACCATTTGGTGCGTGGGCCGATGCTCCAACCACGGAGTTGCACCGTCCAGGGCTCTCATATTTTTGTATGTATAATTAGTGGGTTCTAACTTCATAAAGGAACCAGTAAATAGTTAATTGTGGCAATGTGAAATAATCACAAGTGTTTTTCTGTTAAAATGTTACATAGTTGCTTTTTTCTATAGTGATATATTGGTGTTCTCAGTGAGGATTTTCCTTCTTCAAAAAACTATTAGCTTGGCCCAGCCGGTGTGGCTCAGTGGTTGAGCATACCAGACCTGTGAACCAGGAGGTCACAGTTCAATTCTCTCAGGGCACATGCCTGATTGTGAGCTCAAACTCCAGTAGGGGGCTTGCAGGAGACAGCCCATCAGTGATTTCCCTCTTATCATTGATGTTTTTATCTCTCTCTCCCTTTTCCTTCCTCTCTCTGAAATCAATAAAAGCATATTTTTAAAAAAACTGTTAGCTTGAAAATATGTTGCTTCAGTTGATTTTAGAAACATACTATTTGATTAATCCAGACTGTTGTGGAAACTTTGAAGCAGTTTGACTCTTACTAGGAAAGGCACCTTTTAAACTAGACTTTGAATGTTTATATAAAGAGGTATTTGGGATTTGGGAAGATGGTAAGAGAACCCATGAGTTTCCATTCCTTTATTAGTTATTTCTAACAATTGTCTGTTTTATATAGTTCTTGAATGTGCTCTGAATTTGTATTGAATGTTAATCATTGATAAAAATGCAAAGCCTTTTTTTAAGATTTGTCATTGACACTCTTCCCTTAGCATCTCTTCAGTAATAATCTGGGGATCCTTGAGAACTGGAGGAAAACCCTATCATTTTTTCATGTGATGGATTAATATTAAATTACAATAGGGAATATTATAATAATGGATTTTTTTCCATCCTTTCAGGGTTTGAAAGTATTCTTGAAGGGCTGTTTGGACCTGCATTTTTAAAAGATCTCAGTTTATTTAAAGGTATTCAAAATATTTTTTTGTTATTTAAAAATCATCCTGGTGACATGATACCTTGGTGATTTTAGCCTCTGTCTTCTCCTTTTTATTCATAGTTTTGTTGGTTAAAGCTATATCAATGTAAGCATCTTTTTGTGTTTAGTTAATAATGCAAAGTATATGTATGAAGAAGGTATATTAACTAGTGAGCAGTTGTTAAGATTTTACATAAATAGGAACCTGTCTACTATTAAGTTTTTTTGTTAAAATAATATTTTTGACATTCTCATTTGTTTCCTGAAAAATCCTCATCTGTGACTATTAATTTGTTATTCCTACTATTTTTGCAGACTGTGAACCTGAAAGCATTTCTGATTGGACTTTTGATGAAAATTGTCTGTTCTGTTGCTTGAGAAGAGATAAAGTAAAGGTAACCAAGAAACTCAATGAAACTTGTCTAGTATATTTTATGGTTTTTATTTTTTCAAAATTTGATTACTTTGGTGGAGACTTGTAGGAAAAGAAAGGTATGAGTCTGTATCTATATATATAAAAGGCTAAGCGACCGGCCGACTGGCCGGTATGTATGACACGCACTGACCACCAGGGGGCAGACACTCAATGCAGGAGCTGCCGAGCTGCATTGACTTGGCAGCAGCGGTTCTTGGGTGACGCACCCCAGAACCAGACAAGAGGGAGCCTTATTCCTCACAGGCTGCACAATTTCACCTTCGGCCAGCCGTGGGTTATGTTGTTGCTGGGGCACTGTCACCCAGAATCTGGTTTACTGCCTAGCTGTGGTGACTGCAGATGCCCTTTGAGCTGTGGCACAGTGCTGCCCAGATGCAGCCGGTGGGGAGGGACCAAGGGAGGCTGGCTCCAGGGCATGTCCAGCCCATCTCACCCAGTCCCGCCCCACTGGCCACCTTCTAATCAATTTCCTTTCAATGTGCATGAATCCATGCACCGGGCCACTAGTTTATTTATAAAGGATTTGATGGTAACTCAGTTTGCAATTTAGTGTTTCTAGTCTGTTGATTAGCCTTTTGAGAAATCTATAGTCCAGCATGTGTTGCTTTTATTCATATAGTTCACTAGGCAGAATAACTAACAGGGTGTCAGTTAATTATTCTGCCTAGTTATTTATTTTAAATATGAAGTGTATGGTAATTCAAGTAATGGGAGTCATTTGGACAAAAAGAATAGCAACATGGATCTGGATGAAGTAGCTACTAATTTATGTAGATTTATGATAGATTGTGGTTCCTTCTTTAGTATAAGATGTTCATAATATTTGAGCATGAATGCTCTTTTTATTCAATTGCAGAAATTGGCTGTACCTTTGGGTTTGTGCTTTGTTTTATGTTAAATAAAAACATAAGTAGAATTTTGGCTTAAAAACATTTCAATTGTTGGAAAAATTTATTAGTAATGGTTTTCTGTCTTCATACTACTTCTGTCCCCAGTTTTAAAGCTTTGGAAACATTTTGAATTCCTTCCTCTGCCTTGTACATGTCTAGCTTTATGTCATTGACCAGGTTATATCAGTTGTTCCCTCACCAAATTTCATCCCCTCCCCCACCCCCCATTCATCATTGTACTTCAAGCTTTTAGCATTATTTCTGAACTACTGAAATAGCATGATTCGTCCCTCTGTTGTCTTCAGTCTGTTAAACACTGCTACAGGCTTGACCCTCACCCCTCCATAGTGTAGGAATGTTACCCCATACTGAGTCTCCAGTGATTTTTCTCATTGTCTTCTGGGTACATTAACCTAACACTCAGTGACTCTGTGCCCTCCACAGTTCATTTTTCTTCCTAATGCTGTCCCACTCGTGTTTTGTATATTTTTCTTTTAGCTAAACTGGTCTGATAATTTGTATTAAACAACATGCTTTTACTATTTGGATTACAGCATTGCACTCCTGTTATTCTCAATAGCTTGAATCCCCCTTGCTCTTACTCTTGCCTAAGCCCCTCCTTTCCTATGAATGGCAAACCTTTGCTCTTATTGCTGTTTCAACCCTTCACGCTGTTGCAGTAAATATTATCTATACCAGTTATTTGTCATTTATTACTCAGTATTATTTCGTGCATCCTTTTCTATGTTTGAATCTTGTATTCCTGACTATATTGTCAACCTCTGAAGACTGTGAGCCATGTTGTATGCTTCTTTTTACCCTTGCATGTAGCCTTGTACCACCATTGTTGACAAGTGCATTAAAATCTGAAAGCAGGTTTTTTAAGAGCTGCTCACTGTTCTTTGGTGGCATGTTTTTTTCTGCTTACTACATGAAAAAGTTGTTGTGACTATTCATGGTGGTCTGTTTTCATTGAATTAATGAGGAAAGTGTTTTGAAATTTAGTGTGGTTTGAAAAAGAGAGACCAGAGAATTAAGCAACCGCCAATGAAGTTGAAGTTCATCATTTTAAACTGTGTATGTGTTTGTGTTGGTATGTTGTGACTATTTACTGAGCAAGTCATTTAATAGAAGGAGCAACTATTAGTTACCTTTTTTTCAGGGTAGTATTGAGCAGAAAGCCCTTCTATGTTTAGTAGTTGAGTACAGTACATTCTTGTAATGTGATTGAGTTTTCCATTGCTATATGAGGGTGAAATATTGACTGAATATTTTTAGAAGAAAATACATAAATAGCAAGGTATGGGATCATGTAGTTTTAAAACAGCTGTTCTTACTGTTCTACAATTTTTAGTTGGTTTTCTAATTAGAATATTTCCAGTTGACAACACATTTAGTTCTGGGAAAGATGCTTTTTGCCCTTAGACACCTCACTACCTGTACTTGGTTTATTTTTTTCAGAGACAGCCATAACATTTATAATGGGAAATAGGAAGAGAAAGAGCCTAGCCCTAGCTGGTTTGGCTCAGTGGATAGAGCGTTGGCCTGAGGACCCAAGGGTCCCGGGTTGATTCCGGTCAAGGGCATGTACCTTGGTTGCAGGCTCCTCTCCGGCCCGGGCCCTGGTCGGGGCACATGCAGGAGGCAACCAATCGATGTGCTTCTCTCACATTGATATTTCTTTCTGTCTTTCCCTCTTTCTTCTCCTTTCTCTAAAAATCAATGGGAAAATATTATCGGGTGAGGAGAGAGGAGAGAGAGAGAGGAGGGAGGGAGGGAGAGAGAGAGAGAGAGAGAGAGAGACTAGAAAATGAATTGTCAAGCACATATCTTTAGTTTTGTTAGATTTAAAATGATTGTGCTGGAACTCTTTGCAGGCACTCGGAACATTTCATCTGAGAAGGACTGTACTCCACTGTCTTGAGGCTTGCACTTTAAGGCTGCTTTAGGATTCCAAAAAAAGAAGGAAATATCAGGAGAGTATGGTAACAGCCAATAGGTGGCAGCAGAGCATGCTGTTGGAATTTTGTCTGAGGTTGGCATGATGAGAAAATCGAAATAATGTTTGGAAAACCTGTTAGAAATATTTGACATTTGTGAAAGAGGAGGGAGCTGTGCATTTTTTTAGTTATTTGAATTTTTAGTAGATACTGAAGCTGTTAAAATGGATAAAAAATATATACTAGTATTATTTATATTTTTTAAAAATGTAGGTGAAAAATACAAATTCACTTCTTAGGAAAATAGAACCAGGGATTCACCTAGAGATTACTAAAAAAATTGTTGGTTTGCACTTCAGGATCCTGCAACAGTTGAAAAACACAGTTGACACTTGAACCACACAGGTTTGAATTGCATGGGTCTACTTATATGTGTATTTTTTTTCAGTAAATACCTGTACTGTGTGTGATCTGTGATTGGGAGTCCACTGAGTATATGCATTGATCTACATCATTTTATATATAGGACTTAAGCATCTGTGCATTTTGATATTTATCAGAAGGAGAGGCATTCTGAAACCAATTCCCTGCAGATACCAAGAACAACTTAAGTTTAAGGGGAGTAGAAAGCGGTTCTCAACCTGTGGGTCGCGACCCCTTTGGGAGTCGAACGACCCTTTCACAGGGGTCGCCTAAGATCATCGGAAAACACATATATAATTACATATTGTTTTTGTGATTAATCACTATGCTTTAATTATGTTCAATTTGTAACAATGAAATTGGGGGTCACCACAACATGAGGAACTGTATCAAAGGGTCGCGGCATTAGGAAGGTTGAGAACCACTGTTATACATGGATTTTTGACTCTGCCAGTGGGTCGGTGCCCCTAACCCCTGTGTTCAAAGGTCAGCTGTATAATTTTTAAGGGAAAGGTAACTAACATCTTTTGAGCATCTACTATGTGCCTGTTACTTATATTTGTTCCCATTTAATTATTACAACAATCCTATAAAGTTGGTTAAAGTCATCTTAGTTTTATAAATAAAGAAATAAGAAAATTAAGGGTGACTAAATTATGGGCAAAGTCAAATACCTGGGACTTGATCCATTTTTTTTAGAAAACATTCATTTTGATAACAAAGCTAGGAACAGGAATATGGAAAATGGAGAGCAAGAATTAAGTAGGACTTAGAATTACTCCGTTTGAAAGAGTAGTAGAATATGAGTGTAAATAGACATGAGTTTATTTCAAATAGACACTCATCTGTGTTAAGAATCTCTTAGTAAGTGAATGCCTGCCTACCTGCCTGGCTTGCTTTTTTCTTTCTTTCCTTCCTTTTCTGTTTGTTGGGTACATAGTAGGCACTCAGTAAAATATTTACTGAACTAGTGACCCAGCGCGTGAAATCGCGCGAGACCCGGGACCCTGAGTCCCGCCGGCACTGCGGGACTCCCCCGAGTCCTGCTGGCGCCTCCCAGCGGTGCCAGCGGGACCCAGAGTCAAGTCCTCGCTCACCCTCGTGTGCCTTGCCACGCACACAGCCTCCTGGTGACAGGTCTTTGGTCGTTACGGCATTGCGACCACTGGGTTTTTATTATATAGATAGCTAACTATTTTGAATGCGTACATGTGCCAAGCATATTTACTCATGTGTCTTTTATATGTTTTTTTAGCTTTTCAAAAAAGTAATTTTAGGTTTATAAAACACTTGTAAAAATAATTCCTGTATGCCCTTTACTCAGAGTCCCCAAATATTAACATCTTATGTAACCACCTACTGTTAAAAAAGTAAGGAAATTAACGTTGATGCCATACTATTATCTAATCTGCAAGCCTTTTGAAATTTGCCAGCTATCCCAATAATGTCATTTTTCTGGTCCAGGATCCAATCTAGCTCACGCTTTGTATTTAGTTGTCATGCCTCCTTAATCTCCTTTAGTCTGCGATGGTTCTGTTTTTCTTTACCTTTCATAATATTGACACTTTTGAAGAATACTGGCAAAATGATTTGTAGAGTGCTCCTCAATTTAGACTTGTTTAATTACTCCTCATTATTAAATTCCACTCAAGCATTTTTTGGCAAGAATTTCACAGAATTGATGTGGTGTCATCCTTAGTGTTCTA